TGCTTTTCATTTTCTTCAACATTTCCTCTTGCTCTGAGACTTGAGGAGGCCTCTCAACATCAATAAGAGAGCCAAATTGTACAGAGTTAGGGCCCCCGAATGCTATCCCAGGAGTATAATATTGCTCTGGATGGACGGTGAACTGTCCCTCTTGAGTTGCTCTTTGCGTCACAGTTGGTTGTGGGAGAGTATAGACCGGTGCAGCTGTCGCGACAGTGGGATTATTCCTGAATGGCATGCCTTGAGGGCGTGTTGTTGATGGTCCAGCCCCACAATTATCAAATGGACCATACCCCGGAGGAAAGAAAGGATCTGAAATTGGGACCTGAGAAGATGAAGACCGGATACTAGTGATCTCAGGAAAACCGGGAATAGACGTGGGTGGTTCTTGGCCATTGGCCCAGGCTTGCCACAACTGTACCATAACATTCCTCAATGTCCGATTTTCTTCTACCGTGGCTGACTCTCTTGTCGTTGAATCAACTGGAGTATCCACTGGGTTTACCGCAGTTTCAGTATTGCTTGTCATTGAAGCTCTTACCTTAGACCTGGTAAAGTATGGGTGTTCTGCCAGTTTACCACAAACCAACCACCGAAAGCTAACTAAAGAGATGAGAAATGAACAAACTTGTTAGGGGTTAGACATCATTCACACATTTGTTAATCACATAATAGCATGAGTTCAAAAGGCTATTGTCTCATCCCAGCTTTGCTTCGCTCATTGTCTTCCATTTTTTTTTTCTTTTTAAAAGTTTTGATCGAACCCTTTGGAGGTTGCCTACGTATCATGTTGCCGCATGAATCAGATTAGTACGTAGTTCAGTTAATTTAGACAACTCAACAACATTAATTTAGACAAGTGAAACCAAACCTTTTCATTCATTTCCAAAAACTTTAAGCAAAATGACTAAACCAGTAGGTTTAAACACAACCATGATCATCATTGAAACCCAACTTTAAACTGAAACACTGAGTCTTTTAAAAAAAACAAATGAAACAAACAACGAACAAAAACAGCTAAACATCTTCTTCAATCTTCATCATCCTCCTGGGGCTTTCTTTGTCCTCCTAAGGTCACGTACAAATTCAACAACACCTTCAGCAGATGGGGAACAATGGCCCGTGCTTGCTCAGCCACTTCTGAATCATCCATGCGACGATGATTTTTAATGACATAGGAGGTTTGTTCCGCCAACTGATGAATTTGACGCCTAGCCTTTCCCATATTTTCATAGCAGTTATTCAACCAAACCTGATGATCACCAAGATTGTTCCTTAAAAGGGCCTCTCGCTCCTCCGATGCTTCAAGTTGATGGCAAAGTTTTGCTCTCTCAATGATCATTTGTCTTTGCCCCTCTTCAATGTCGACACACTGACTGATTTTTCTTTTATGTTCTTCTAACTCTGCTTTAAGCTGATCATGTAAATGCATCCAACATGACCTCTCTTTCTCAAATTTCTCCTTCTGCCGCTTAAGTTCCCCCCTTTGGTAGTTTACGACCTCTTCAGAAGCCACTAAGTCCCTCTTCAATCGAGAGATTTCAAAACTCTGCTCCTTTTTTATTTGTCGGGCCAAGTGAATTCTACTATCCAACTCTTCCTCTAGACGGGCTAATTTCCCCTCTGCATGTTTCAATTCCCCTTCCGTATCTTGTAACTCCAACTGAATATTTCTTCCTCTTTGGACTTGAACTTCTTGCCGGGCAATGGTGATTTTGGCCTTCTCCAACTCTTTTTCCAACTGTCTTATGATGTGCTGGTCTTTTCTTTTTCTGCTGGATCCTTCAGGAATGTCATTAAATGTTGTTGGATCACGAAACCACGATAAGTACCCAGGCACCACTTTTCCCTTATCTTGCTCCACCACCATTTCACTTAGCTCAGAAATTATGCTTCCAAACCAGATCTTCAGAACATCAGTGCTATCAAAGGCCAAACCTGGCGGGGTGTCAAATACAAATCTACTCATATCATCATTTGGTGGAATTTCTTGTACTCTAGCCAGCTGACGCATAACTCGAAGTGGGGCATAGGGTTGAACACCTCTAAACCCAATCAACACAAGAAACGAGATACCACTAGACATGCATATGACATCCTTAACTGGGAACCAGTAATAATTCCACACTATTTCATCAGACGTGATCACCGAGAGTTTCTCTTCACATGCTATAATTTCTTTTGGAAAATCGATTTTTGCTTCTCTTTCCTTATGGGAGGAAACATAATTACACTAGTCTGGAGTGAACCTGGGTGCACGATCATGGTGATAAAGATGCTCCAAAAACCATATTTGCAACAAAATGTTGCAGCCTTCAAAGTACATTTCCCCATTTATGCATTTAGTCAATGCACGGAACATATCTGCCAGGATCATAGGAATAATAGTAGGACTCTCCATTGTGGTCAACGCCTTCACCACCCCAGCCAGACGAATATCGATATGCTTGCCCTTTGGGGAAACAATGAGCCCCAAAAACGCGACCATGAAGGCAAAACATCCATTCGCCTTCCAAGCCTCTTCACCCCCTTGGTTGCTAAGTTGGTTCCGATAGTTTTTAAATCCATCCTTTTGGCCATACCTCTCGTATAGAAAGTCCAATGAAACCCACCCATTCTTCAAACTCTCCTTCTCTACTTGATTGATCTTGAGAAGTTCCAGGAACTTTTTGGCATCAACGTTCTTTGGAATTATAGGTTTTTTGTTGCGGAGATCAGCACCCCGAACACTGGACCCCTTCCCCATGAAGCTGGCGATTTCTTCCAGAGTTGGTGTCATCTCGAAGTCAGAAAATCGAAATACATTATTTTTTGAATCCCAAAAAGGGATCAATGCCTCGATCACATCCCTTCTAGGGTCAATTTCCATTAGATGCACTAGATGTCCCAGATGTTCTTTTACTTTCCTTTGCTCATGACTCCCCATGTCTGTTCACCATCGCCATAAATTCTTGGGTATTGTGTCAACGATCATGAACTCTGGAATTCCTTCACTTCTAGGCCTTTTGGAACCCTGTCCTTTGGTCGGAGGTGCCATTTGTACCTTTGAATAGAGTCCAATTAATGTTTTATGATAAACTCTGACCGAGGGAAGAAAGAAGAGTAAAAAAATATATTTAAGAAAACAAAATACCTCTTTTTTCAAACACCGAACCCGAGAAGGGATGCCTACGTATCTCATTTTAGTGAGAATCAGGTGTGCGTAGTCATAAAAAAAAACTCACACTTGAAAGACTATCCATTTTATTTCAACCTCTTTTATTATTAAAAAAAAAAAAAAAAAAACTCACACTTGAAATACTATCCCTTTAATAAAATAAAAAATTGAAAGACAAAGCTATTATAAAGTTGGTCAACAATATAAAGGCCTTTTGAACAAATTACTTTCACGTAACACATAAAATGAACATGTTGGTCTAGAGTGGACACATATCCTAGATTTTCTAGGTCAAATGCAAAATGATACAAATAAACGTAGCTTACCACAGATAGTTTTTGCTAGGTTTAACACTTTATTTGGAAGGTGTCTAGATTGGCTTACTCGAGTGGACAACTCGAGCCGGGGAGGGTCAGCGTACCGGTAGCAGAGCTATTCCGGCTTAACTGGTGGTCCAACCCCGCCTAACATGTGTGACAAACCTAGAACCACGAGCGTAACCGCACACTGGTTCATCCTAGACAGAAGTCCCGTGGAGCGTATCCGCACACACAGTGTATAACAAAATTCTAGAGATTCAGAGGGTGTGCGAGAGGAGGCAATTTATATACAATTACACAATATCAAAACAATGAATCATTGAAATAGCGCAATTAGTCAAAAAAAGGTTATCCAAATATTCAAAATAGCCAAATATAGTTAATATACGAAGCTTGAATTCTAAAGATTGGTCCCTAGCAGAGTCGCCAAATCTGTCACACCCCTTCCCTTTTTACAATAAGTAATGGAGTATGACGGTTTTTAAGGATAAAAAAATATATATATAAAACTAAAGAAAACATGATTTTTTTTTTTTAAGAGTCACCACTTGAAAATGAGTTTTGTAGGTGTTCCAAGTCACCTAGTAATTCCTAA